AAGTTAAATACACAATGGTTCAAGTTAAATACACAATGGTTCGAGTTAAGTACACAATACTACTTATATAGTATTAAATAATAATACCGTTCTGGCTTACGTCAAATACTTACATTTGACTTGAGGACAGACCTTGGGAACGGAACTTGTTCTTAAACTGAGGACTACCTATATACTCTTCTTTTCATTTTTTAAAACTTGTCCTTTTTGTTTCTCAGTTTATCAGAGAGCTCTTTGCCGATTCTTTCAGTCATCTCCCATTTTTTTCCTCTGGTATTTTTTGAGTTTGGGACTTAATTATCTTATTTTTCAAAATGTATCAACCCTCCTGAACTGTTATTCCCCCTCAGGATTTCCATCTATGAAATTCTTCCTAGTTTTTCCTGTAGCTCGTTGAACTTAGCTCTCTTGAATCTGGCTACTATTCAGTTCTCCCTGCCTGCAGTACTGTATGGGTGATTTTTTTTTTTAGATTTTTTTATCCTGCCTTTATTATTTTTATAAATAGCTCAAGTCGGCAAGCATATCTAATACTCCTTCCTCCTCCTATTTTCCTATTCTAGGATAATATAGAATTCTAGGATAATATAGTCACTGTCTCCCATGGTTCCTACAGCTTTCACTTCCTCAACCATTTCTTCCCTGTTAGTAAGTATTAAGTCCAGTATAGCTGATCCCCAATTCTTTCCTCCTCCTTTCAAACAATGACAGAGCTCTGTAGGTAAACGTTTAATAAATGTAAACGTTTATTAAAGATATTAAAACCTGAAACCCGTTGTTAACTGCAGAAGGCCCCTTGGTAAGAGCTGTGTGACACTGTGATAGAAAAGATTTGTTCTGCTGTTGCACATAACCGCGGTGTGTCCCCCACCCTGGTGCTAGTGATGTATTTTTGCAAAACTCTGCTGGAGACTTTGTCATGCTAACTAGCCCAACACTGAAATATATTCTCTTTTACCAAGCTGTCTATTCCTGATAAGCTAGCTTGAGGCAGAAGCTAATCCTTTTGTGCCAAAGGGTTAAAAATACATGCATGCAAGTACGGTGCTCCTAAAGTTAATCATAGTTTTCTTTCATGGTGGTTTTGAATGCTGTAGCAGGGTCTGCATTTGAAAAATAAGCTATCTGTGCTGGCAAAGGAACTGGGAGGAATTTTTTTAAAACCAGGTATTTGGCTGCCATTACAATGAATTGGAAAACAACAACAGTCGTTTTAATTAAAGAGGACCTGAAGGATTTTTCTCTCACTCATCAAGTGCAGAGTCTGAGAAAACGTTATTCAATATTCTATTGCAATCAGCGGGCAGGCATATAAATGCAGGGGGCTGTTTTCTTGCCTATTTCTTTCTTGTCTTCTGGCTTGCAATCACATCTTTAATCTTTCCCTAACTGCTACTGGCTTAGCTGCTCTGATGTCACAGCATCTCCCAGCACTTCTGATTGACCATTATCACCACAGCTTTGATGTCAAAAAGGAGTAGGTGGGGCCAGGTAGCTGTAGATAGGGAAAAGGGACATCAACTTTGTTTTCTAACAAGAGCCTTTGTCTCGTACTTTTATTTTTTTTTATAATAATTTGATTACAATTGAAAAGATAAAAACTAATACAAACTAAAAAAATATAAGAGTAAAAAGAAAAATTGGAAAGTGCAGAAAAGAAAAAACTATAGAAAAAAAATAGAAAAGAAGGGAAAAAAGGAAATGTATATATATAGAAGTAACTTCCCCCTTCATTGCAACAAATACAAACAATTTTAGTAACTTATCACCTTCTCTTAAAATACAACAAATGCTCTCTTCTTCCTATGTCTCATCTCTTAACTATAAACAAAATCTTAAAACCTCATCATTCATTCCTGGTCAGCAAAAGTTCATTAAGGGTTACCAGAGATAACTACATATTTATTTTAACCTTGATCAAATAGACCAACTTTATATTCCTTCCTTGTACTTTTAACAATCTTGGTTTTTAATCCCTTCAAATAATGTCCTAAAACTTGATTTCTTTTCATTTTTTCTTTGTCCCTTCTCAGAAAATCCTTCAAAACTTTAACAGGTCTCTTTTGTAAATCCAGTATAGAAAAGTTATCCAAATCGCTCTTTTGGTTGTTATTTGTATGTCCCTTTTAATTATTAAAACATCTACCGGTTTCATTTATATATCCAGTATGTAATCTTTTTCCACATCATTCTTGTAGCTTGTCATTTTTAAATCCACATTCAAACCAATTTCAGTCTTGTCTGGTAGAGCTTGTTTTTCTTTGGTAACATAATTTACACACCATCTATCTATGATGACAGACATTCTTAAAATTAACTTCTGAGTCCATTGTTCACAAATATCCTTCAAAATGTCCAGCATTAAAGTATTTTACTCCATTCTGTGTTAATAAATTGACTTTGTGTTCTTTAATTGTAAACTTTAGTTTCTTCTAGTTCCCTCTAGTGTCCAACCTTCAAAGTCCTATCCTATCATGTTTTTTTCCCCCTAAAGAATCCAAACAACAGCAATTTCTCATGGGAAGGATCCTTATAATTAATTTCAAAGTCTTATTTCAAGTCCATCTGGACCCTTAGTCCATTTTTTACTTTCAAAAATCAACACTCTAAACACCCTTTTGCTGTTTATTCCAAAAAGTAAAAATTTTCTAAGTCCTTAAACTTGTACTTAAAACTTCTTTCACTTAGGAGAAGGAGACTCACCCAGTGAATGTGATAAAAACTTGGTTCTTATTATTTGAAAAGAAATAAAAAGGTAATTCCAAAAGTGATTAAGAAATGAGGCTCGGCCAAGCTTTATGTCCATATAGACTATGTTACAACTGTGAGCTTAGATGGAATCCCTCAATTCCCAGCCACTGAACTCATAAGCCGATCACAAAAACCTTGGTTTCTGCAGTCTATTCATGAGGAGCAGCTGTCCAGAGTACATGCAGGCAATCTCACAATCTCTCCTTTCTCTGGAGAGATTTTGCTGGCCATGATCCAGGATCTGGCTGCCAATCTCCTCTGTAAACACTGTCCCTGCTCCTTCAGGGACATTTAGCTCACCATGTCTTCACCCAAAATCCTAATAAGAGCCGTTGTCTCAACCAGTGACAGTGCTAGCTCACCGTTGTCTGGGCTCACATGCCTAAGCAAGATTTTGCCTATTCAGTACTTGGATGAGAGACCACCAGGAAATACAAAAGCTGTAGGGTAGGCTAGGAAGTTGAAAAACATCTTGGAAAAAGGCAGTGCAAAGCACTTCTATGCTGTTGCCAAGAAAATTATAAATGAATGAATGAATATACTAGGAATCAAGCTTGACTCAAAGGCATTGTTACTTTTTCAAGGTTTTTGATAAATGTGGAGTCCAGGTACTCTCTGAGCTTGGATGTTTGCTTGCAGACATTTCATTACCCAATTAGGTAACATCATCAGTGCAAGTGAGTGCGGGGTTTACTCCCTGTTTATATACAGTAGCTTGCCTTGCCAGTGTTGGTGGGGGTGGGGCTTTTTCCTTGGTGGTTCCTTGATTAGGGTATTTTCTGCTTGATTGATCTTTGATAAATTTCATGGCGATGAGCTTTTGAAAGGAGATTGATGGAGTCTGTGTGGTGCTTTTTGCCCAGGCTGAACAAATTGTACTGTTTGTGTATGTGATTTCAATTCTGTATTTCCAGTGCCTCCCATAAGATCTTTTGAAATGGGAAAACTCCTACAACTCTGGTGGCTGGGTCAGTTGGCAGCAGATGAATTGAGTCTAAAGATTGGTTTGGTTTAAAAAATACCAAACCAGTAAATTCCTTTTACTGCTCACAATGCCCCATATCCAGTCTGCCTCATATCCCTCAATCAAATTAAAATTATATTGACTTATTTTTGTTTTTAATGGCTGAAAACTATCAGCCAATATTATGAGATTTTGGCAGAATACTCAGATCCTCATATAAGATCTGTCCATATATCTTATATTTATTTTTTAAAAATGCAGATGTAGGATCTAGGACACACATGTGGCTGAATGTCCTGTTGTTGCTTGCTCCAAAAGTATAGTTTACAATAAATTGGTGGGGGTCTATTAGTAGGGGAGGGGTTGACCAACTGGGGCATATTTCACATAGAGGCCCTTATAGCTACTTTTTCTTCAAAATAACATTTCCTAAAGGTGCAGGAAGCTGACCATGTGTTTATTTCAGTCATTTTTATAACACAGAGTCATGTTGTGAGCCTCTCAGTTTCTATTCTTAGCTGTCACTCAACTTTCTCCAACCTACATTGGCTGGGGATGATGTATATTGTATCCCACATACCTGGAGGATACCCCACCTGAGTAAGGCTGTTTTATCTTCTATCAGTAGCTGTAATCAGTGGATATGGCTAAAAAACAAAAAAGGGACCAAACTTCACAATTCATCTCTCCCTTTCCCTTTCGCTTTTATTGTAGGGTGAAAAAGTAAACTATGAAAAATTCAGATCCTGGCTGATGCACAATAAAGAAGCTTTCACATTTTCCCGCTGGCTGCTCTCCGGAGGAGTGTATGTCACACTCACAGATGACAGTGACACCCCCACCTTCTATCAGACCCTTGCTGGAGTCACGCACTGTAAGTAGCTGTCTTTTGTAAGAGCGACCTTGTTTTCTGCCACTGGGCCAAGCAAGCCTTGGTTAAGAAACGTATGGTTTCTCCATGTGATTTTTCAAGGAACAGCCTTCTTTTGTGCAAGAAGTTTGCTTTCTGTGGTCATTCTGCCCTTCCTCTAGGACTTCTGCCCTAGCTGCGAAAGTATATGTCTCTGTAGTTCTGGAATTGTAGGTTTAGCTGTACACTGATGTGCGAAATAGGTTTGATCAACTTGTTCATAATAGCTCAATTTGGTTGTCACCAGCCTAGGTGGAAGAGCAGGTATTTACTATGTTGTGTTTTTGAGTTGTGACTTTGCTGCATGAAAGCTGTGATTTCAAACCTCGGTTAGGGCCAACCACAGCTTGCGGAACTGAATGTCGTGCTGAATACATGTTGGATTGTCATCCTGCACCATTGCTCTCCCTGCAGCATGTCCTCATTGTGATAAATAATATTGCCTCCTTGGGTGTTCAGCAGGTAGAATTATTCATTCATGCCTTTTATTTATATCCTGTTTTTCCTACAAACCCCCCAAGATAATATACTTGATTTCTCTGTTTTATTTTACCAGTGCACCAACCTGTACATGGTTGGAAAAGAATTAATTGTCTCAATAATTATTCTCACAAAGGAATAGGATGTCCCCAGGCTATTCTGTACCATATTGCAGAATCTCTTGTGTCTTCATACTGGCTGATCCTTACCTTTTATTCCTTACCCTTTACCCCTGTTTTAGGATGGCACTTGTTCATGAGGTAATACCATTCAGGTTTCTCTCCCAAGTTTGTTACATTTGATGAGGATCTAAATGCCAAACTTTATAAAGCTCTCAGTGCAAGGCTTGCAATGTGCTGCGCCTTCGTGGCTCCTTCTAGTAGTGCCATGTGGGACCCCTTGCCAGAAGATTTTCAAGAGCTCCTATAATGAGCTTTATATTATTTCTTCTGAATTTTTATTTTGTCTTTTGCTTTTGACTTGAGATCTGCAAATGTTCCTCCTCACATTTACTGACAGTCTTGGGCTCCTGAAATTCATTATATTGGGATTTATTTGCATTCTTTAGAATATGGCCAGAGTCTCCCCTTTATGTTTCACAAGAGAGCAACAGAAAACTGATTGCTTTATGCTTGCACAGTTAGAGGCTGTACTCCAAAAGTTTTATTGCTTTCTGAAATATCCGTATTGGTTGTTGGATTTATAGTCTTAGTTGTCTTTTTCAGCAAGAATTTTCAGGGTGTTTCAGAATTCAGGAAACCTGAGAAATAGAGAAAGAAACAGTTCCTTCCTAGTTAATAGTTATTCCCTTGTACACATTCCCAATTTTTCCTTTTGTTGGCCCATCTTTTGGAATTCATCTTTATTTTAGATTCAGTGGTGAGCTCATCTCCATTGGAGGTCTTTGGATGGAGGCCAGATGGTCATTTGTTGTAGATGCTCTAGTGCAGTGTTTCTCAATCTTGGCAACTTTAAGACCTGTGGACTTCAATTCCCAGAATTCCCCAGCCAGCTTTGCTGCCTGGGGAATTCTGGGAGTTGAAGTCCACAGGACTTAAAGTTGCCAAGATTGAGAAACACTGCTCTAGTGGATCCTGTATTGATTCTGGCCATTATTCTGATGTGGTATAACAAGAAAGACCTCTTTGGAGGCTGTTCAGGAAATTGGGAGTTTGCTTATTTCTTAGTACCCCCTCTCCCCTGCCATACGCTGTTGTACCTATCCCATTCCTGTAAATCCCTCCCTATTAGAGAGGTGGTTTTCAGCTCTTTGCAAACCTTGGTATGACTTGCAGCTAGAAACACCCATAAGTCATGTACATTTATTTTCCACATTTTAACTCCAGAGAAGGATGATGAATCCATGCTCTCTAGATGTCTACAGTTACCATCCATGACCGCTGGTCTTTTTATTAGAAGCTGATGGGAACTGGAATTGAACCTTTAGTCTTAAGAGCATTTAGTAAAAATGAAGCCGCTCTGGCAGCAATAGAAAAGGCCCCAGTTGTGATCATTCTCACTGTCACCCACCTTGGAGCGAGAGGAGATCCACTTAGGGATTCTCACCCATCAGTAGAAAACGGACATGTTAACCAACAGTCTGTTTATCATAAAGCCTGCTCATTTGTTTTCTCTTTTGTTTTAGTTAAATTAAATAAGTTAAAGCTAAAAAAAAAAATTAAAAATGAAGCCCACGTATGCAGGAGGGGCTCAGATCACTCCTGCCTGTGACAGTATTTAGTAAGAAAACAATGACTAAGGGACAGTTAGTGTGATTGGTTTGGCTGCTGGAGCAGCCCAGGATGCTTTCAGAGTTTTCATCCAGGCTTGGTAAAACTGTGGTCAAATCTTGCTCCTATGAAAATAAGAATACGTTCTAGAGGGTAGGTGTGGGTAGCCTATGAGCTATATATCCCCCCCATCACATTCCAGGGTGGATGAGGCCCACCCAAAGCCTGGTGGGGCTTCTTTCAGGCTTTGGGGATTTTAGGGAGCAAAAAGTATTGAGAGTCTGAAGACTTTATTTTGAATCCTGAAAATCTCCCAGAGTTCCCCAAACTTTGGGGTGACCTTTCTTGCTTGGGGGCAAGGGTTGGGGACAGAATGGATGTCTTCAACCTCCCTAAGTTAAGGTTTTATCCCTTAACCCTCCCCGCAAACAAACCAGAAGTACAGACCTCACCAATTTATTGCCATAATGTCACGAGTTGTGCCCCCTTGGAGGCCAAAGTGTGGATTTTAGCCACAAGTTACGTTGTTTGCTCCTCTCTTGTCTCAAAGCGTCATAGGATTCTCCCCTCTAATCTCTTCCACTGTCTTTAGATTTCGCATGTCATTTCCTGGATGTGTCTGAGCATGTCACACTTGGTGACTCTGGCATTTTCACCACCCTGTGACTTTGCTTTCATTGTAAAGCCTGGCAGACTTTAGAGCAGCGTTTCTCAACCTCGGCCACTTCAAGATGTGTGGACTTCAACTCCCAGAATTCCCCAGCCAGCCTGGCTGGCTGGGGAATTCTG